ATATCCAGAAAGATTAACATCAAGTCCAAATTCTTACAGCCAAATGGCAGCTACATCTGACATAATTGTGTAGTGTCTATAGAGAATCACCTTATATAGGTATAAATATGGTTGTACACGGATTTCCTAAATGCCAACATGATATCTCAAATACAGTAAAAGAAGTTTCAGAAGCCACAAAATGAAATCAATACACCAACCCAGGGAAGATTAGACATGTTCCTAGAACAAATTAACAAAATACCTTCATCTATGCACCGCTCAGACTGCTTCATTAACTCCCCAATAAAAAGCACAGTGGATGTTGTGCCATCACCACTTGTGTCATCCTGTGCCACAGCCGTCCTCGCAATCATGATTGCAGTTGGGTTCTGAATTTGCTGCAAATAAATGACACAAGACATCAAATCAAAGAAAAACAGCACCAAATACAAATATCATCAGGATGTCAATAGAATGTTTCTGTGAAAGGTAGTGCCATACCATTTCCTTCAAGAGGGTGTTCCCATCCTTAGTCAGCTTCAGGTCACCAGCTCCGCCCACAAGCCTGAGCAGCACAAACCAAACGCCAACAAATTCTAAGCAACCTTTGCTAAAATCAGATTAACTTTCCGCTATAAATCTGAACAGCTAAAACCAGCAAACGGGCAATTTGTTACAAATAAGCAAATGCACTGCCAAATGGAGATCCAAGCAGAAATCGACACGCGCAATTTAGATCACGCGGAGCCAGCCAAACGAGAAGCAAAAACAAAGGGGAGACTATACATCTCAATCTACAAGTGAACAGCTACGCCACGAAACCTATACCCATACCGCCGCACGAAAATAAAGGACCAAACCCTACGGCCCAGCGAATCTACCAGAAGGTGAGCTGGCGGCGGCGGGATGAGAGGGAAGAGGAGGGACCGGAAGGTTACATCTTGATGGTGCCCTTGGGGCCGAGGTTGGTCTTGAGCACGTCCTGGAGGCCCTTGGCGGCGTTGATGGTCATGTGCAGCGCCTCCGACTTGTTGAGCACCTGGGCGTTAGGGTTCAGCACGCGGATCGACATGGCTGCTGCCTTGCCTCGCTTGCTCCACCCGGAGATCTCGCCAGCGGCGGCGGCGAGGTGGCGTTAGTGTTAGGAACCACACGGCCAGGCCAAGGAGGGGCGGAGCGGAGCGGGAGCAGTAGGGTTTTGGGCGAGTGCGGGTTGGGATCAGGAGAGTTCTTCTAGTCCTCTGGAGACATGCCGAGACGGCGCTTGTTGCCGGGCATGGATGGGCCGTGATCTGTTGGGCCCAGGGCTGCGCTTGCACGAACAAGTGGGCCTCGGCCTGACCTTAGTGGGCTGACAACATTGTTAATAACTCACTTCATCAAACACCATCAAGAAGGGGCATGCCATTATAAAGCAAGAACATATAATGCTTAATTTTCAAATACCATCAAGAAATGGGCTAGCCATTATAAATTAAAGTCATGTCAATGATAGAATGGGATAGATCAAACCATGAAACATTTTACCATCCTGCAAAGTAACCCATAACCCGGTGATGAAATACACGATTAGGAGCATGAAATCTTTGGCACACAATACCCATGAGAAGAGTGAACATATAAGGCCCCTTTCAAGATTTCTCCTGAATAGCTATTCCAAAAATATCACTTTATTACATCTCGAGGTTTGTTGCCACCTAGGTACTACGGTCATTCTTCCAAAGTGGAATGCAAAATTACATACATGAAATAAAATACTAAAAAAGGGAAACTCTGGCGGACTTTAAAACTATGCACATATATGTGAGGAAAAAAATATTTGCCAAAAATAGCCCCGTTCGTTTCGCTGAAATTTAGCTGCTACCGATTCCTTGTGAGAGAAAAACAAAGTTCCTTCGCTGAAAAGTACCGCTAAAGAGCGCGAACAGCAACAACGGATCTAGGCCTTGGCCCGTCTCGTTCATGGGCCCACTCTGCCATTACTGGATAAAGGCTGTGCTCCGACTGTACAGAGTTTGCCAAGCAAGATGACTCGAGAATTAAAGCATCAGACATTGAAAAAAAAAACTCAATCCACGTTAACTAGACAACCCTAGTATTCTGACTTAAGAAGAATGCCCCGGGGTGAAAAAACCCTCGAACCTCTACCCCACCTATACACCGTAGCTACGTGGGATGAGCTGGCCACAAACATATGCTTTGGATGTGGAGCAAACGAGGGAGTTTTTTTTTTCTCCCTGATCACTACGGTCGAAGCCACAAATAAAAAGTGAGTCTCTTATGACTCAACTCTGACCCACCCCAGAGGGGAGGTACCGAGCACTCGGTCAGCCATGCCGTTCCTGACATCGCACAAGAACATAAGATGGAGGGAAAACCCTGCAAAAGTGTTTCATCCAATCATGTGGCGATGTGTTAATGTTTACAAGATACTGTACAACAGATACAACATGGATAGGCTTACAGACTAAATTTCCCTTGCCAGTTACCCACTACAAACTAATCGTACTATCAAAACTGGTGATCAGATTATCAAAATCCGGCTGTTGTAAAGGACCAAAATCTAACAACCAAATCCAAACAAGTTACCAGCGGCCGGTCAGCTACAAACTCATAGTACTATCAAAACTGGTGATCAGATTATCAGAAATTTAATAAGCGAACCCGCCCCCGCCCTTGCGTGTTTTGCTGGACGGAAGCCTGCAACACCTGTTTTAGCCTGAGGTGTCACCTGTTTCAAGAGTTTATAGCAGTCACAAAAGCTGTCAGGTACATCTCAGCGCCTGAATACATGTCAGAAACCAATCCATCTCACGACCCATCCATGATAATGTATTCCAGGCCAGAAAAATTGAATATGTCAATTTCTGATAGCATTTGGCTACAGCCATCAGAAAAATCTACAAGAAATTCCTTGAAGATTGAGGTACATCCAGACTGGTTGCCCCACATCTTTTAAATCTTGCCACATGGGTCCTCTGTTTCCCTCCTGTCTTCAGTCACATACTGACATTCAAGTGCTATATACAGTATATATTATATCAAGCACATCTATATCTGATCTGATTCCCCATTGGTTTCCTACTAGCTTTTTGAATGCTAAGGATTTGGATTTGAACAACAGAATCAATGGTACATTGCCAACAAACTTGAAGAATGGATAGAAACTGAAATGTGCAAGTATAGAAGCCAAGGACCCACTACATGATTAGGAAAAGCACCTGTACAACCAAAATGGATAAAACCGAGTGAGATAGGTAGGAAGTACAGAGGCTGATATGCATTCATATATACTTATGTAAATCTGTTGAGCTCATTTCTTGTTCACTGGTTATTAGCTATTACTAATTCACTCTGAATCATGCATATAGTTATTCTAAGACTTTAATAACTAAGGTGTAAATAGTGAATATGGACATAGACATGGTTAACATCCTGATTTCCCATGTAAAAACGCTTTGTACATGTTCAGTGAATTAAAAGTTTCGAAATACCTTTGTTTCTAATAACTAAAAAATAAATGCTTAATGATCATCTAATTTTCAGTTAATGGTAGCGCCATTCATTGACAAACTTCCTTTCATACTCCACTGACATATGTGGTTAGCATTTTGCAAAATACTTTCATACTCTACTGACATGCTCTGCTTCTGATGTACAGAAATTGTTGGCTTCTGTAACAGTGGCGTACCCAATGCAGAGAGCTCCTGCTCTGTACGGGGTCTGGGGAAGGGTGTCAGTGGCAAGCCTTACCCTCGCCTGTGTAATTGTTGCCTTCTGTATATTTAATAAAAAATATAGTAATGGTACCACCATATTTTTATCTCTGCTACCACTAATTGTGCAGAAGACAAGGAAGGTGCCCGCTAACAAGAACCGATCATGATGGAAGCTTCAGAGTAGGCAAGCCGGCAAACTTGTGCTAACTGTCAACAACCCAGCATCCAAGAAGAAGCTCCTTTAGTCCTTTATATATCAAAGGTGAAGAAAACTAGCTAGTGAGAGGTCATCGCTAGTCGCCTGGGTCCTACAGTTAAATGATCTACTATAGTTCATCTCAGCGTGATACAAGAGAGAAGAAACCTTTTGGTTTAATTCATTAATTTATTGGGTTTTGGTTCAAAGTCTATATTTTGTTTGGTTAAACCGTTAAACTAAAGTGGTCTTGTTTTGGTGATACTAGACGGGAGAAGTATTGTGACATTGTGACGGATAGTTGTTGAGGAGGGCAGGGAGACGAAATTTTGGGAAGGAAAAACTGTTGAATGTCTCCTCCTCTGTAGATGTCTATACATTGCATCTTTGGTAGGAGTACTTGTCACATCATTATTCAATCCATGTTACTCTGCATGCTCCTCTTTCTCTTCGTGTCCTTTCCCCTGTTAATTGAACGTTGTTTGCAGTCCATGGATATCAGGATCTGCTTGCTCTCACCATTTATATGCTCATTTCCAGCAACGAGAGGGATGATGTCCCCAGAACCGGTTGCAGAGATACAAATGGCCAAGTCATGTGCTCACAGAAAAGATTTTGATCATGTTCTCTATTGCTGCACTGGGGTGGCATTTCACTAGGAGTCTGGGAGATGAATGATGTTGACAATATTCAACTACAGCATGCAGATGATTTCATTTGAAGGAAAAAAAATGCAATGAATCTTGCCAGAGAAAGTGAAGGTGTACCTAACATTGCCTTATCTATGCTGAAGTATGCCACCTCAGAATATTTGTCATGACATAGTTGAGACTTTAACCACACAATCATGCTTTGGTGTCAAAGTACTGAAGACGATGCCTGCAAATTTGGTAGAATTTATGTAGGATGCACATGGATGTTTAACTACATTCAAATCAAGCATAAAACAACTAATATAAATAGTAACCCCGAAACAGAAAAGGACCCGCATGGGATGCAATATTGTTCAGTTGAATTCCATCAGGTCATGCCTTCAGCTAGCACAAGGCACGATTCTCATGTACCACAGTGATGATTATCTTGGTCTAGCTGCTATACATCATCTACCCTGGTATCAACATTTCTTGAGAGACTTGCTCAACTACAGTGGCATGGCTTTAAGAAGTAAACACCTAGTGCAGTAGTGCTTACATAATACTATAAAGCTAGCATGATACAGCAGAAGGTCAAAAGAGAAGTACCTTGTCCACTGTTTCTCTGGTGTGTCTGCTTTTGGGTCTGGTCCAGGTCCAGCTATAATGCATCCATCAAATCGAGTTAATCAGCAAAGATGTGTTCCGCAGTACCGGCACAGCAACGAGCTTAGAAGCAACTAAACAAGCTCAGACCTTTGAGCTCTAATGACATGAGTAAAATGTCCTAGAGGCTGAAACTCTCAAGAAACTCAGTCAGTTGTTACTTGTTCTTTGATTTAAGCATACTTATCAGCCTGTCAGAAACATCTCTGTCGAGAATTATGCCATTCTCCATCATATATTCCCATACCTCATAAGCCAGTGTAGCTTTCCCCTCCTCTAGGAGGCCATTGATCAAATACCTAAATGTCAAGCTATCAGGTTCTACACCTCTAGCCCTCATATCCCTGAACAGATCAACAGCTTCAATTGCCCTTGAGCTTTTCCCGAGCCAATATATGAGCGTGTTAAAAGTAATAATATCTGGCGACACTTCCTTCTTAATCATCTGCAAGAAAATTTTCTGAGCCTGTTCAAACTGACCAGCTTTACAGAGGTTATGGAGCATAATATTATACAGATTAACATTTGGAACAACCTGAGCTTTCAGCATCTGCTCAAAAATTTCTTCAGCTAGGTTGTAGTATCCTACACCGTAGAGACCATTAATTAGAGTTCCATATGTCACTGCATCTGCTTGTATTCCCTTATAACCCATTTCTTTGAACAGCTTCAATGCAGAAGTTACTTTCTTTGCCTTGCAAAATGCGTCAATCAGTATGTTACAAGATACAATATCACAGAACCCACCAACCTCCATATGATCTGAAACAAAACCAAATGCCCTGTCCAATTGATGAGCTTTGCACAATCCTTTTAACATTTGATTATAGCTGTACCGATCAGGATTTACTACCCCACTCATTTCCATCTCCTCGATCAACTTTTCAGCTTCCTTTATCATACCTGCATCGCAGTAATGGTTCAAACGGATATTATATGTGACAACATCTGGCTCACACCCATTTGTCCGCATGAAGGATATGATTTTGAAGGCTTTATTAATGCTTCCAGATCTCAAGAAGCCACTTATCAGGGCATTGTAAATACAGACATTGAGTTCTAAATTAAGACTCAGCATCCTCAATGCCAGCTCAAAAGCCTCGTGAGCCTTATCACTCTTGCACAACCCAAATATCAATACGCATACAGGCAATGATATCAGGTTTAAGGCCCCTCCTCACCATTTCTTCCCAAAGCTCGACCGCTTCTGCAAACTGCTTATTATCACATAAAAATCCAACAACTGTTGTGTAAGTCACAACATCTGGACTGGTTCCTCTCATCTCCATATTATCAAGCATCTTCAAAGCATCATGCAACCTATTTTGCTTACATAAATAGTCAACATATATGTTACATGCCCAAATATCTGGAAAACACCCAAACTTATCCATATCGCCAGGAGTCTCTCTATGAGCTCAATCCTGTCTGATTGGCACAGTGCAGATATCCACCTCGAATAAGTGAATGAAGTCAAGCAAAACCTTTATCAAGTGCCACGCCATAATACTTCTCAACCAAATCAAAGCAGCAATTCTTAACTAGCACACCAATGAACCTGTTGTAGTCCACACCAAACTCACGGCATCCAGACGTAACCATCTCATCAAATGTCTGGATGACGGAATCGAACTTGCCCGCCCTGACATAGCCCGACAAGAGGATCCGAGAGAGAGCGATGCAATGCCACTCCCTGACTCCTCACTCTCTCAAGGAACTCCGACAGCAGGAAAAAGTTGATGTCTATAAACAGCAGGCTGACAATGTAGGCTATCGCGAACTGGGTGTGATCAAACCCAGGCCTGGACTCTGCCCACCAGTAGAACCGCACTGCCGTCTCTGAGTCCGACACGCTCCGGAGCACCCGGTTGACAACAAAGGGGTCCAGGTCGACATGGAGCCTCTCCAGCTCCAGCTCCAGCGAATCCGACGACTGCCCCCGTTCCAGAGCTCGCCCAATAACACCAGCAGCGACGTGCACCGGGCCGGCCAAAACAGCTCGGACAGCCGGCCAGATGTCCCTGGAGTGGCATTGTCGCCGCCGCCGCCGCCGCCACTGTAGCGCACCCTCCTTGTACACCAAACGATCCAGGGAACAGCGTGGAGGGGAAGGATGCAGAACCTGGTAATCTGAGACGACCAAGGCGGTCGTTTGGCCAAGAACATAACAGATCCCTCTCAGGAGGGGAGTTTCGTCGAACACCTGGCCGGCGGGGTTAGCACCGGGCATAGGAAACTCTGTCGAGCCCCCAATATTTTTTAGAGAGAAGCTTCTCGCGTGCCTCGGATTGTAAATCCAGTGGCTTCATCCCCGCGCGACGGAGAAGCAACAGCAGAGCACGGAGCCCACTAGAATCGAACTAGGAAGAGGAGGGGAGGACGGCTGCTGAATCGAACAGGAGCAGGAGCCCGGAGGGGGAGGAGGAGGAAGCCGACGGTCGGCCACGGGGAAGGATGTGGGCGGCGCTGGGATGGGTACGGTGGAGCGGAGGTCGGTTAGACGGCGCCCGAGGGGGTGCTGCCGCTCTGCAGTCTGCTCTGGTGGACTGGACTGGTGGTAGCGGCGGCGGCCGAGATAGGGAATAGGGCCCGCGGCGGGAGATATGCTGGCGGACGGATGGACGGGTTGGCTGCCGACTGCCGCGCGGCCGGTGCGAGCGAAGGGGAGAGAGCGGCCGTGCCGACTGCGTGAGCGAGCAAAGCCGGGAATCCTATAGCGCGACGCCGCGACTGGCAAGTTCTCCCGCAGGAGCAGGACGACGTGCAAGTTCTGCTGGCGGCGCGGCCAATGCGGGCCGCCCATACGCCGAGACGAGGAGCTTCGAGGTTTAATGTTGGGCTTCGTTGGGCTGGAGAAACAAACACTTGTCATTGGGCTGTATTGACGGTCCACCTCAGATATACTAACTTGGCTAACGGGCTAAATTTTTCTGTGATATCAGATTTCATTTCAACCTCTACGTAGTTTGGGCTGTCAACCTAGACCCTGTTTGAATCTTCCCAAAAAAAAAAAGAGGTGACACAAATGAGGATAAGATCCAAATATTTGGATTATCTATCTACTCCAAACCTACTATTTGAAGTTTTTCAATATGCAAAGATAATAATAGTCACTATAAGAATAAGATCCAAACACTACTCTCTCTTTTTTTAATCTAGAATTCAGATTCTCTATTCAGCATCTAGAATCCAGGTTCTCACTATAAGAATGAGATCCAAACAGACTCTTAGATTAAATGTTATAGATAGCGTAGAGTATCTACTAGCAAATACACACAAAAAGGAGGTCATATAAGATTAAAATAATTGCAATCTAGGCACCATAAGATTGAGCAAACGAGACAAACTTTAGTGTTAAATCAGATTATAGATGTCGGCAAAGTCAAATGAACTTCTACATAGTTTGGGCATCAACTTAGACTAATTAAGTAATTATAATAGATAGTGAGATCATATACTAGTAAATAAACACCAAAAGGAGACCATATAAGATTCAAATAATTCCAATCTAGGCAAGTAAGACTGTAGGAGTCGGTGTTGGGTCAAACAGCAGCACCGCAAGTAGAATGGTAGCTCCAGCTCCGCTACGTAAGAAGTGTTTGTTATTAAGCCATTGCAAATTTGTGGTTTTATTACTTGTTAGTCAATTAAATATATAGAGATTGATTAATGACTAGTTAATTCGATTCAATGATAATGTAGATTTGAAAAGCTTCTTTAGTACTTGTAGAAATTCAAAGCAAGTGGTATAGTAACCTGTGCTCAAGCACTCAAGACAAGCTAGGGATTTAAAGCTAGATCTACTAGAAACAGTACAAAGGTGTCGAACATCAAGAACCATAATCACATGAGCATGATGTCTAAGGAATTAATGGTTTCTAAACCCAGATGTTCATCTTGTTTTTGATTTATATGCCTTCATGCATGTAGCAATGGAGCAATTCCATCCGGACGCTAGAGATGATGTTAGGAGGGCTTATTTGGTAAAGGGTCCAACTAAACCTTTTGGTAATAACTTTCCTTGCAATTCTTTTATGATTAATGTCATTTTCTAATTGGTTTGTCTTTTAGATTGACATGTTTCAGTACTACAATTCTCTTTTGAAACATGTATTATGTTGATTCCTCTTTTCAAAAGGTAACATTACTATTCTTTTTTTGGAGAAACTAGAGGGGAAGGGGGGAGAAGATCCCCACCTGGATATATTATCTCATAAAAGTTCATTTGGAGAGGGATGGAGGAGCACATGGTAACATTTTGATTCTTGTTTGCCGTTCTATAACTTTTGTTCATGATAGCAAATTTTGTAGTACAAGACATACATTTTTTGTTCTGCTATGGGAAGAGAGACTTATAGAAAAGACGGAAGAAGAATGTCTATTTATTTTAATATTAGGTATATCATGGTTAAAGTTAAAAAAACAAATTTGATGACCTAAGACAAATCTATATGAACTTATACTCCCTCCGTAGACGCAAATAGCGGTCGTTTCGCCACGGACGGATCTCGAAGCGATTAGAAGTCATTCGGCCTCCAACGCAAAGTTTGGACGATCTGCCCCTTGCGCCAGATCCTCATTGCCAGCGTTAAGAGCTCGCTTTGCATCCGCGCCGGCGTTAAGAGCCCGATCGATCCCTTGGCTTCCTCGTGGCGTCAATAGGCCAACCGCCGCCGCTAAGAACACGCCATCGCCGCCACCGCGACACCATCTCCACCTCACGCCGCACGCGCGCCGCCGTTCGCTGGCGCTCGCCGTTCTTGGCGCTCGCCGTTCACCGCACGACGCTAGCGTCGATGGATGCTCTCATTGTCCTCGGAGATGGAGACGATGGTGCGACTCCATCACGCCGAATCGCAAGGCGTAGAGTACTCGAGCGGTCGAACCGATGCCGCCGTTTTAATATTGCAGGCAGCCGAACCGTTCAACCTGCTGAGCGCTGAGCGCCAAACGAACAAAAAAACGCGCCCAAGCGAAACAAAGAGTGAACGAAAAAGTCTACACACGCAGCAACTGAAAAAATTCGCGCGGCATAGTGCGCAACCAGCGTGCATGCGAGAGCAAGCAGCGAGCGTGCACAGCGCCATGCAAATTCCCGCGAGCGTCCAAAAAAATAGTGTGGCCAAGGGATTGAAACACTGGACCTCCGACCTCGATCCATGCAGATCGCTTACCACTCGGACTATGAGGAATTGTTGTATAGGAGACACCCGCAGTCCTATTTAATAAGGGCAAAGAAGGAAAACTCCCCCTAATTAATCACTCTTTGGCACTCCTTGGTAAGCGTAATCCTGTCCTAAACGACTTCTAATTGCGATACGGAGGGAGTATTTGTTATCTCCAGGGTCTCTTCTCTCTCTCTCTCTTTGGAGTGACTAGGAGACAACCATTATTGTTACCCTGTTATAAGTTGCTCTAACATCACAACATTATTGGCAGTGGGAAAATGGTTTCGATCCTCCCATGCATGCATGTAAAAGGAAGCTAGGCACTATGTAGTATGAAACGGTTCTGGGAAGCCTGATGCTTCCCGCGTCGTGCAGCGTGGTAATAGGATCGAATTCAAACGTGTAGAGAGGAGTTAAGCTGCCAACCATGGGCTGCGCGATGCAGGTACACTCTGAAAGTGCCATCCACTATATTCTCCCGGCCCACTGATGCCTAGCTACCAAACTATATAGCCTTGACCTATCTAGCCATCCATATCGAGTCATATGCCTATTAGAGGCATGGAAGTTAGCAAAGCTAAAATGCTCTTCACCTGCTAGTAGCTAGCGAGCTAGCTGGTCAACTGGTGGTTGTCCCTTTCCGGCCATGGATTTCTCTGATGATGCCTCTGCACAGTCTGCAATTCTGCATTCTTCTCTTCTCTTCCAGCACCAGCATGTAAGATGTAGAATCGATCGGATCATGTAGCCAGGCCGAGGTTGCATGCATGCATGGTTTATTATGTGGTGGACGTCCCCACCAGTCTCCTGGTGTCCCTCCTGCGTGACATACATGCATGCATCATCGCGTCCAGTCCAATCGATACCAGCGTCAGCGTAGCGATGGAGATGCATGACTACGCATGCATGCGGTGATCCACTCAGCTGCCGGCCGGCCGGCCAATCGGCGGCGTCAACCCTTGTTGTAATCCTAGAGTCCGGTCCAGCCAGCCAACGGAATGTTACTGCACGCCGCATATTTTTATAGTAAAGCTCTTTTGTTAAGTAATCGGTATGCTTATCTCTTTGTTTTAAATTATAAGTAATTCTGGCTTCTCTAGATATAAATCATACACGGAGTATCTATCTTGACATAGTGTATATATAACACATAGAAAGTGCGATATATGTACGTATCTTGATATAAAAGTCAAAAAGACTTACAATATGCTTCCTTTTTTTCCAATCAAAATTGTAAGTCATTTTTACTTTTAAAATACATAACTTTTACTATGTTCAGATATAATATGTATATATATATACACACACAAAAGTTAAAACAATTTATATTTTGAAATGGAGGGAGGTGTAGAATGAGTGAGTCCGTTTTACACTGACGACCTCTTCCACTCAGAACATAAAGAGGAAAAAAAACTTCTTGTCCGATCCAGTAGAGGCCAATAAGGCTGTCTCTAATAACCGTTAGCCAAAATATAAGACCCATTTCATGTTTGATAGTGCTACATGCAAAGGATTCAATATCCATTTTCTGTCTTCTCCAACAATAAGAATAAAAAAGAATCATTTCTGCAAATAGGTCTTCAGGAGAGAGGATACTCAGATTTGAGTTATACCTCTCCTAACATCCAAAATTGGTCTTTCATATAGTTACTTTGTTGAAGGCTGTAGGTATATTATATTGGAGACCTATTTTGGATTTGGGTCTCTTGTTTGAGACAGCCTGCCATATATATTTCGTCTGCTGGCCTGGTTTGCGACTGTAACAGCGACGTACAGTACAGTGTACAGATAATGAACACAATAATCGGTGCACCGTACCTGGACGGCATTTCCAACTGAAACTGAATGCAAGCACGCACGCATGGACGCCAACAAAACGCGCCATCGATCCCAAGGCTTTTCTGGCCTCCGATCGATCCACTGACGACGACGATGCCTGCTACAGTGAGTCACTGACCATGCATGCACCAAATTGAACTACACTACTACTCTATATCCGATCGACGCCAACAAGTCGCCAAGTTTTCTTCCGTCCTCCATCTCCATGGGTGGATGCATATGA